TAATTTTAAGCTCTGCTATAGAAAGTTATTAAGCTTAAGACAAAAAGGATGCTTGCCTAAAGAGAAATCATTATACATTCAGAACTGACCAGGTGTGTAGAGGGCCCAGCCAACATGAAAGATGTAAATCATGGGTGGGTCAGTTAAAAGAACCTAATATGAAAGAACAGTAAAAGTTGGGGGATGTTCCAAAGGTTTGGGAAAACAAAGTAATCAATCATACACACCTGTTTATTATTGTGTGCTTTTAAGTTTTTGAGGATTGACCAGCTACTAACAAGCTGATGGAGTCAGAGATATTGGAAGCCAATTAAAAAGGTCAATTAAAAATGCAGAACTTGTATTGTAAAAGAGGACCCTCTGTTGACTAAATAAGGTAATATACTTTACAAATTAAAAGCTTTAATTTAGACAAAAAGAAACTTCATAAAATTATTAAAATATTTTGATGGACCCAAATAAAGACTGATAGATTCAGTGCATCTACAAGAGCTTTATGCCATAGTCTACTTTAAAACACTGAAAGACTTAATGTAAAGAGTTTAATCCTTTAGAATGTCACTGTAATGATATATGCTTTCATACTTTGTATACTTTTAGTGAAAATAAGCTTCTAAAATGCTTTAAGAATATTGTTATACTTTTATATGCATGTATTAATGTAAAAGAACCAATTTTGTAACAAAACTGATAGATTTTCTACTGAAAATGAACTCAGCCTGAGAGTTCATTCAAAGGAGAAAGGAGTCTGGGAGTAAAGCCAAAAGAAGTTAACAAAAGGATAAATCAAATACAATGAGCAGTGCACCTGCATTGTGGGAGTTGAGACGCAGCCAAGTAACATCCTGTGTTAAATATATGATTGATGACTGACCAGACAAAGAAAACTGAACTGAGCATGTCTAAATGATGGCAGTGAGGATGTAAAGTGAGGAGGAGCAAGAAGAGCATATAAGCAATCTCCCGGCTGTAACACATTGAACATCTACGAGCTGTTGGATGTTCCTTTATTTGAATAAATTCTTTTGTTACCCTTTGCTGCCTGGACGATTGTTTTAACTTGTATGCCAATAAAGGTTATTGGAATTGGATTGTTTTAACTGTGTGGTTTATCGACTAGCCACACAAGTCAAAGAACCTTAGTGCCCTTGGGCGTTGGCTACAGTTGGCTCCTCCTAGTCCCAGGGACATAATTCATGTGAAGTGGTTTGGGGGTTGCCTTTTTACATGCAATGGTTTGATATCTGTATTCATTAAGTACAAATATAGCATGCCTTTCTTACCCTTTCTTCGTAACAAAATGTGACGCAGCATTTCTAAGAATATGTTGTTCAAGAACTGATCACAGATGGGAAAGGAATATCTTCCATGGAGCATGTGATCCATTCTCTTCCCCTAGCGATGACATCTTCACAAAAAAATCAAGCTGATCTGATTTCCATTTCTTACACAACAGCCTGGCCATTGTTCTATGATGTAATGCACAGGTTCAATTTTAGCTAGAACATACATGAGCTCTAGATGACACATCAGCATTGGATCCGTTCCAATCCAACTTGCACTCCGGCCATGGGACGAAGACTGTGCTGGTTGCCCTAACAGACAATCTCCACAGACAGCTGGATCAAGGCGGGCCGGTGCTGCTCCTGGACCTCACAGCGCTGTTAGACACAGTCAATTACGATCTTCTAAGTCACTGCCTTGCCAACATAGGAGTTCGTGGGGTGGCGCTTCAATGGCTCTTTCCTCATTCCTCCATGATTGGGGACGGACGGTGGTGCTGGGCAAGGATGTGTCTTCTAGGAGACATCATGCGGGGTTCCTCAGGGGGCACTCCTCTCCCCGATGATTTTTAGCATCTATATGTGCCCCCTCATCCAGCTGGCTAGGAGTTTTGGGCTTGGATGTCATCGATATGCCGATGACACCCAGCTAGCTGTTGCTGGACCTCACAGCGCTGTTAGACACAGTCAATTACGATCTTCTGAGTCACTGCCTTGGCAACATAGGAGTTTGTGGGGTGGTGCTTCAATGGCTCTCTCCTCATTCCTCCATGATTGGGGATGGACGGTGGTGCTGGGCAAGGATGTGTCTTCCAGGAGACACTTATCATGCGGGGTTCCTCAGGGGGCACTCCTCTCCCCGATAATATTTAGCATCTATATGTGCCCCCTCATCCAGCTGGCTAGGAGTTTTGGGCTTGGATGTCATCGATATGCCGATGACACCCAGCTATATCTGCTGCTGGATGGCCAGCCAGCTACTGCCCCAGAAATTCTGGCTGAGGGATTGGAGGCCATGGTGGGATGGTTAAAAAAGAGCAGACTGAAGCTGAATCCAACAAAGACAGAGGTTCTGTGGCTGGGGGGTGGGCCCTCAGGATTAGAGTCTAGGCTTCCAGCTCTGGATGGGGTGCCACTGACATCGGTGCCATCTGTCAAGAGTCTGAGCATGACTTTGGATGCCTCCTTATCAATGGAGGCCCAAGGTTTGCACATTACTCAGCTGGCATTTTTTCATCTTCGCCAATCTCGACAACTAGCTCCTTTCCTGTTGCGCCCTGACCTAGCCACAGTAATCCATGCAATGGTCACCTCCAGATTGGACTACTGTAACTCGTTGTACACTGGTCTACCCTTGAGACTGACCCAGAAAATCTAGCTGATCCAGAATGCGGTGGCGCGGGTCCTGATGAGAATGTCACGGATGGCACATATACAACCAGTGCTGCGCCAGCTACACTGGCTTCCAGTGGAAAACCAAGTCAGGTTCAAGGTTTTGGTATTGACCTTTAAGGCCTTGAGCAGTCTGGGACCAATGTATCTGTGGGAATGTCTTCTCAGGTATGTCCCTGGAAGAGCTTTACACTCTTTGAATAACAACTTGCTGTTGATCCCTGGACCCAGGGATGTCCGGCTGTCCTCAACCAGGGCCAGGACCTTTTCAGTGATGGCCCCAACCTGGTGGAACTCTCTGCCAAATGACATCAGGGCTCTGTGGGATCTTATGCAATTCCACAGGGCCTTTAAGGCAGAGATGTTCAGCCCGGCTTTTGGTTGAGGGTAGCAACAGTTACCCATTGGCTGGCACCCTTCCTTTCCCTTCCCACCCTTGATGCTCTGAGTTCCCAGTTTGGTGTAGTGGTTAAGTGTGTGGACTCTAATCTGGGAGAACAGGTTTGATTCCCCACTCCTCCACTTGCACCTGCTGATGTGACTTTGGGTCAGTCACAAGCTCTGGCACAGCTGTCCTTGAAAAAGAGCAGTTTGTGTCAGAGTTCTCTCAGCCCCACCCACCTCACAGGGTGTCTGTTGTGGGGAGGGGAAGGGAAAGGAGTTTGTAAGCCGCTCTGAGACTCCAAGTGAAGGGTGGGGTATAAATCCAATCTCTTCTTCTTCTCTTCCCTTTCCCCCACCCAGAAAAAAGGGATTGGTAGTCTGAAATTGAGATAGTAATACTATAGGAAAACTGCCATCTTGGATCTTTTATTTATACTGAAATTTCTACTAGGTTGTATATGAATTTTAATGTTCTGTATTTTAATGTATTTTATGACTTTGTGTCCTGTACATTGCCCAGAGCCCGGCATAAACTGGAATAGGGCAGTTAACAAATCATGATGATGATGATGATATGGAACTTACATTTGAAGACATGAGAAAGGATGTTGTCTCAGAGAATGTTCTGACTAAGCTCACACTAACATCAAATAATAGTAGCATGTCCCAAGAAACAGAAAGAAGCCTAACATGTTGCAGGAATAAAAAAGAGTCCAGTAACACCCTTTTTGGGGGTTTTTTTTGTATTTTATCGGGGGGGTGCGCACGCGCATGTGCACCCGGAAGTCATGGTGACCTCCGGTGACTGGCCCCTACTGGGGGCCTGGAGGATAGTCAGAGAGGTGGCTGAAGAAAGCCCTCCCCCCAACTGCTGGTATTCCAAGGAAGTCTCCCATCCAAGTACTTGTGAGAGTCAACCCTGCTTAGCTTCTGAGATCTGATGAGATTGCAGGAAAACACCACAGACTCCACCCTCCAAAGCAGCCATCTCCTTCAGGGGAACAAGGGTTGCCAACCTCCAGATGGGGGTGAATGATCATCTCGAATTACAACTGCTCTCCAGATAAGAGATCAAATGGCTGCTTTGGAGGGTGGACTTTATGGTATTATATCCTGATGGGGTTGCATACCTCCCCAAACCCCAAACCTCACCTTCCCAAGGCTCCACCCCTAAATCTCCAGGGATTTCCCAACCTCAGTCTGGCAACCCTAAGGAGAACTGAGCTAGGAGACCTGTTGTGATTACAGGAGATCTCCAGTCCTCACCTGGAGTTTGGCAACCCAGGAAGGAAGCAGGAAAAAGGGAGAGACTATGGGGACTTTCAGGAAAGGGAAAGAAAAAAGTGTGAGAGGGGGAAGTGAGATGCCTCTCAAAAAGTTCTTGCAAATTCCCACTTGTAATAACTCCGCACCAAACACAATGAATAATCCATATGTACTCTAGGAGCTTTCTGCTATTACTCCAGTGTATTCAGCATTGATGTGACTGAAACATGGCAACTCTTGAACTTTTTTCTTTTTGAATTAAAAAGTGATCACCCATAGACTTTTGTGGAACACTGTTAATATTTATATCTTTCCAGTGTACTGAAAGTAAACATTCACTGATTAGATCCTAAGAGCTTCAAGTAAAGTAGTTTTTGCAGAATTAAGCCTTTTATTTACTCCTTCTCTCTGCAGCCCCCACCCATACCCCACCCAAAGCCACACCTCAGAATCAGTGATCCCTCTCAAATAGCATGGGGTGGGGCAGAGCTG